TATCTATCTATCTATCTATCTATCTATCTATCTATCTATCTATCTATCTATCTAATCTATCTATCTATCTCTCCCAAATCCATCTCTCTCTCTCTCTCTCTCTCTCTCTCTCTCTCTCTATCCCAAATCTATCCATTTATTTCATATTACTGTAATGGTTCTATTTGTCTATATATCTGTCTCTTGATCAGTCTCTCTCTCTCTCTCATTCTCTCTCTCTCTCTCTCTCTCTCTCTCTCTCTCATTCTCTCTCTCATTCTCTCTCTCTCTCTCTCTCTCTCCTTCTTCCTGTGCACACAGATGCCTCCCCTCTCCCCGGTTTATCCTCAGAAGCTCTCAGGAACCAAATGACCTCAGATTCCCTCCTCTTGAAGGGGGGCCTACCAGCCACTCTCCACCTCCCCGCTGCAGCCTAAGCAATGTCTGAATGTATGTCTGCCTGCTCTCACGTGTCTGCGCAGATGAGCGTTTGCCTATTCATGTGTCTGAATCTCTGAATGTATGGCTCTCGGCGTACGCCTTTTGAGCTGCACATCACCCACACAGCACACTTCTAGCCTTTCTTCAGGCCTCAGCCTACACAACCTCTATATTTATAACAGCGGACCAAGAAGGTCAGCTCAGCAGAGAGTGCTACTGATGGGCACCGATGCATTCCGTTGGGTGGGGTATTGGGAGATGTATTCCTTAAAGGAGAGCTCCAGTCAAAAAAAAAAAAAAGGGTAAAACCCATTCTTAAGCCATACAACTGTCCTCTGCCCGCCTGTGCATAATTTTCTTTTGGCTGTGCAGTCAGTCCTTGATTACGGTCCTGTCTTTAGGCTTCCATCTGGTTTGGCAGCAATACGTACCGAAGAAAGAATAGACTGCCGAGAGGATTCTGTGTTGAAGAGGTTCTCCAGGAAAAAGAAAAGTGAGACTCCTTCCACTCATTCACAAAGAGATTCACATCCCTCAGCTCGTTAACTTCCACAGTACTTGACTCTATTGTGAAAGTTGATGAATTGAAGGCTGCGTGCAACCCTGGCATATCTGAAATCGAAGACGGGGTAGAGGTGCTGCCATAAATGGCCTCTCAGTGAGCAGCCCTCAAGCTCCGAGAGCTTAATAGAGAGGCAACCTTTGATAACAAGCAATAGCAAGATAAAAGGGAAGCACATTTGCAAACCTGACCTTTTTTCTTTCCCTTCATGGCCTCAAAGACCCAGCCAGTTCAGACTTCCTTTGTTCCCATTAGTCGGTCTTCTGACATACATGCGGGAGGTTCGGTGGCATTTTTGAAATGCTAGCTTGTGAAGCTGGCTCGTGGATGACTGGCGATGAGCTTCTTTTCAAACCTCCTTTGCTTTCTGCTTTTCCTGTTGGTACGGGCTCCACGGATGGCAAGGCTACATAAGTACATTTCCAAGATTTCAAAACACTAACCCTTGCAGTGGGGCTACCTCCAGTGGGGCTACCTGCACACTGCTAGGGTTAACTGCTCATTTTGGCCTAGAGGGGTCAAATAAAGCAGACATAGTCTGATCCTCGGTCCTGTTGGGCTGCTAGACCGGTCTCCCCAGCCCCTTCTCCCCCAGGCTCTGGCGGTCTATGGACCGATGACATCGTCTAGAGGAGTGGTGGCGAATCTATGGCACACGTGCCACAGCAGGCACGTGGGGCCCTCTCTACTGGCACTACTGGATTAACATAGGGGCGCCTGGAGCTCCCGCTACAGGCCCACCCCTGAAAATGGGCCCAACATTCCCGGTGTTCTATCCTAACAGCCAACTCTTCAAGTTCTCCAACTTGTTACGTCACATCCGGGGACTTGCCAGTAGGAGAGTGAGACTAGATGGTGCTAGTGCGGGTACGCCAGCCGTGGCACAATACTCGTCGAGTTCTCAAATCCCTGTCAGTGCGCCTGTGCTGCTTCACAATCCTCCTTGAGTTCTCCAACTCCCGTCAGTGCGCCTGCGGGGCCACCCAAGAGCAGTATCAAGTTCCCCAATTGGCCTTACTGCACATGTGCGCCTATCCGATGGCATAACATGAAATATGTTAGCAGAAGATGCTCTCTGATTGGCTGCCTTTGCTTTGCAACGACGAGGATTGTGAAGCCGCGCAGGGGCACTGACGGGAATTGGAGAACTCGACGAAAATTCTGAAACTGCCACGGCTGGTGCACGCGCACTAGCTGTGACATCCCGTCCAAATCTCCTACTGGCAAGTCACCTGACGTAACGTATCGAGTAGGAGATCTCTCCAGTTTGGGCACTCTGGGTTCGCCATCACTGGCCTAGAGCATGTTCAGTGTCTTGCATTAGATGTGAGAGCGCCAAGGGACATACCAGAGCCGGAGAGGCGAGCGCTGACTGCTGCAGGACCGAGGATAAGGTGAGGAGATCTTTATTCCGGCCCCTAGAGAAAAGACAAGCAGCCCAACTGCAAGGGTAAGTTTTATAAGAGAATGCAGTTCTCCTTTAAAGGCCCCTGGCATTGACTTTATGAGGAGTGCAAGGAGAAATATCACAGGTACCCTTGATTTAAAGCTGAACTCCAGGCTGCTTAATACACATACGGCCTGGGGTTCTTCTTTAACTATCTGGAGAACATCTTCAATCACTACTGCTCCATATGAGCGGCCATTGTGGGCACGCCCACTGTCTGCTTGCTTTGAAGTTTCAGCTGATGTGCTACATCTTTTCTCCATTGGAAGTCTTACCGCTCCAGGACCGTCTACAAACCTGACTCGCCCCAATACCAGTGCATAAAGTAAACCAATACCAGCAGCAGGTTGCAAAGACTGAAGATTGTCTCAGTCGCTCCTGCTCTTTGCCTTCTCATCTCAACAGCCATTGCAGGCGCATCCACTGGTGAGCAGAGGATGCTGGGAATTGTTAGACGCCCGGCGAGGTTCAGTAGTTTTGCATGTGGATTGATTGGAGTAATTTTATGTAATTGCCTGGAGTTCTCCTTTAGTAGCAGGGGATAATGTATTTTTTGGGGGGGCAGGGTGGTTGGGTATGCGGTCTTGGGGTTCTTTCTTTGACGCTGGGGTATGTCTCTTGGGGGTAGGGTATTTTTCACTCTTTTTTGACCCCTCCCTCTCGGGAAACTCTCAGACTTGCTCAGGAACTGAAGATTTTAGTGCAGGGAATTCCTATTTGATTGTAAGGACCGTTGGGCGTCGGGCGGCGTCGACCAAAACTGGCAAACAAAGGCTTGTGTTCCGATGATGCCAGCAGGGCGGCGACACTGAGCAGTTGGACTTCCATCGGGGCTGGGGCTTTTTCGGGGGTTTCGGGTTACCAGCGAACAGTGTTATCATGTCCCCCCCTGGGATCACGCTATTTGCACATTTTTTGGGGTTTTACTTGGAATGGAGCCAAGTGGTGACTTTTCAATATGTGG